CTGATTATATTAAAAAATATCATTAATTTCGGTATTAATATTTAATATAATGTGATTTCAGTTTTTAAATATATATTAAAACTCTAATTTTTTTTTTGAATTGAGATTAATATACACCAATCTCTATTATTATTATTATTATTATTATTAGAGGAGAAATAACCATGGATAAATCCACTTATTAAAACCATCTTTCGTTGGTGCTTTATTCGCAAATTAGATGACCTTTAAATTAATAAGCAATTAGTAATCTGCCACTTTTCGCCTATAAATAACCCACGAAGGCATCAGTCCTTCTACGGCACATTCATATTCACGTTTTTCACATTCAATTTCCAAAATGGGAAACGGTTCTAGCAGTTTTCCTTCTGTTAATGCAAGTGTTGGTGGCAACGGCAGCAGCAGTGGTGGGCCTGGTGGCCGAGCTAGTCAGATGGGAAGCGGGAGTAACGCTAAAGGTGAGGGTATGATGAAAGCTCCTGGCGGAGGGGGCAAATCCATACCAAGGGCAGGGTTTGAAAAAAACCCTCAGCGCTACTTTTCAGATCTGCGTGCTGGAAAGAAAGGGTAGTGAGTAAATCTATCCCAGTAGGAGTGAATGTTAAATTTCTACAAGGATGAATAAAACAACACTCCTTACCATGTTCTGTTATGTTGCAGAAGTTTGTTCTTATGGATAATGTACCTAAGAATCTATTTTTATAATAGAAATGTTTTTTTTTATTATTATTAATTCTTTGGAAGTAGTAGTCAATTAAGAGTTAATTAATTCATTACGGTGGAAATAGAGTTTAGTGGGAGAGGTAAACAGACCTTGGCCATATTAAGTGCGTTTGATGATGGGAAGTAGGGACAAAGACTTTGACTTGCCAATCTTATCCCACTAGCCAAACCAAGTGCAGAACCCTCAAATTCACCCTAAAAAAGTATCAATAAGAACACATCCACTTCTAAAAAAAAGTAGGGATAAATTGCTCTTCCAAATCATAAATCAATACAAATCACTCAGTTTTCAACATTTTCGTTAAAAAATGCTGACGTAGCAAACATAATTTTGACGTCTTTCGCTGAAAAAAGAGTGATTTGTATTGATTTATGATTTAGAGGGGCAATTTGTTCTTGTTTTTTTTTTTTAGGAGTGAATGTGTCCCTACCGATATTTTTTGAGAATGAATTTGAGGGTTTTGCCACAAACTAAGAACCTGCTGACTTGACTTATGAACAAGCGCGGAGCCGAGGGGGGGCCTGTGGAAAAAATTTAAGTTTAACTTTAAAACAAAAACCTGTAATGTATTGTGCTAATTATTAGGTAAAAAATGGGGGCAAACCTAAATTTAATTATCAATTATATCGTAATTTATTGTTTAAACTCACATGTTCTTTTCTTTTTTAAATTCAAAATATAACTCTACCTTTTTATCACTTTTTATAAACTTTTGAATATTTAGTTTTAACAAGCCTCAGTAGTCAGTATCATTAGTGTTTCATTTATATAAATTATGTATATTAATTTTTAAAATAATCTAATATTTATAATTATTTGATTAAAAGACTTATTTT